GAGGGTTGACCAGCCATGGCAATGAGTGGAGGTGCTCTTTCAATTTCTGGAATGCCGCCTCAGCATTTTCCCCCCATTCGAATCTAGTCTTCTTCTTGATTGCCTGGAAGAAGTAGAGGCATTTATCACCTGACCGGCTGAGGAATCTCCCCAATGCCGCCAGACAACCGGTAGGTTTTTGGACTTCCTTGACAGTGCAGGGTGACTTCATATCAATTACCGTCTGTACCTTCTCTGCATTGGCCTCTATCCCCCTTTGATCAATCAAAAATCCGAGAAACTTCCTAGACTCAACACCAAAGACACACTTCTAGGGATTGAGCGTGACCTTGTGCAGCAAGGTGATCCGTCTCGAGCTTAGATTTGACTATCATGTCATCAATATACGCCTCTACATTCCTCCCAATTTGATTAATGAAGACCGTAGTAATCATCCGCTGGAAGGTTGCAGGCGCATTTTTCAGCCCAAACGGCATCACCGTATAACAGAATAACCCTTGATCTGTGACGAATGTCGTCTTCTCTTGATCTTTTTTCCACAAGGGTATCTAATGGAAGCCTGAATAGGCGTCCATGAAGGTCATCAAGGCATGACCGGCTGTAGAATCGACTAGACTGTCGATCTTTGGAAGTGGATAGCTATCCTTTAGACGTGCCTTGTTCAGATCTGTGTAATCAACACACATCCGCCAGGTACCATTCGACTTTTTGACAAGGACAACGTTTGCTACCCAATCCGGGTAGTAGCATTGCTGAATGAACCCGGCATCCAACAACTTCTTGACCTTGGCGGCTGCCACCTGAGATCTTTCCTCGTCGTGGTTTCTTTTCTTTTGCCTAATCGGCTTCTTTTTTGGATCCACGGCGAGTTTATGGACAGCAAGATCCCGGCTGACGCCTGACATCTCTTCCACTTCAAGGCAAAAATGTCTTTGAATTCCTTCAGCAGTTGGTGCAAATCTGCACCCAACTTGGCAAAAGCAACCGTCCCTACTTTAACGGTTCGTTCCGGACAGCTGTCATCTAGAACAATCTCAATATTTTCACTAGCCGGCTTGGGACGGAGATCATCTGACCGTTCCCCGATCAGTAATTGCTATTGCTTCTCTTTTTTTACGGCCACCAGGTGGTCCGCCTTTCTCTTTTTGCCGGCTGCTTTGGGAGTAGGCGCGACTTCCTTGAAGTCATGGGCTCCTTGCTTTGGCCGGCTGCGGCCACAATAGGCTTGACGTCTGAGAGATAACACTCCCTTGCCGTCTTCTGATCCCCATTCAGGGAACCCACTGACCCATCATCCCTCTCGAATTTGATCAGCATGAGGGATGGGATGATGACTGCCTTGGACTCGTTGAGGATTGGACAGCCTAAAATCATATTATAGGCGGTCAATTCCTCGACCACCAAGAACTTGACAACCATGTGTCGTCCCTTCCCCTTTTCTCCAAGCCGGATAGGTAGGTCAATCCTCCCCACCGGATGCACTACTCCTCCCCCAAAGTCGATTAAGGGGTGAAAGGCCTTGTGCATGCTGCTAGGCTTGTACTTGAGCTTCGCCAAGCACTGATAGCTTATAAGGTCAGACGAGCTCCTGGTATCAATAAGGATCCGGCCCACTCGTTGGTTGGCAACCTTGCATTCGATGACTATAGGGTCATCATGAGGCTGCCTGACCTTGCCCCGATCCTTCTCAGAGATGAGGACCTCAGGGAAGGTGTCTTTTGACGCCTGGCCCTCATCCACTGAGTTGACCAACTTCCTGATGTTGTCCTTGGTACCCCGGATGGTAGGACCCCCTCCCGGGAAGTCGTCTGCTATGGTAAAGATCTGCTCTTCATCCGTGTCAGAGCTTATAGCCGGCTTCTTGGACAGTTGTCCATTATTTGTTTTGGGGTTACCCTTGGACTTCAGCATATAGGACTTCAAAGCCCCCTCATCAGCCAGACGGTCCAGTAGCCGCCTGAGGCTATAGCAGCCATTGGTGTCATGGCCTATATCCTAATGGAAATGACAGTACTTGCTCTTGTCCCGACTTTTGATGGGACTCTTCATTGCTGTCGGTTTTTCAATGGTCAACCGGTCTTTGATCTCCATGAGGATGGAGGAACAGTCCTTGTTGAACTCGTACTTGGGGACGTACGGCTTCAACTCTCTCTTTTTCTTCTGGGAAGGCTGACCAGAATGGTCCGCCACCTAGACTTCTTTTCTTTTCTTGCTCTCTTCTTTTTTAGCCGGCTGAGAAGACCGGCTCTCCTTTTTGTCAGACTTTTTAGGGTCCGACGGGTGCTTGATGGCATAAAGCTCCGTCGCCTGTATGTAGGCTTCGGCTTCCATCAATGCCTCTTGGAGGGTAGCAACCCTCTTTCTGACCAGGTTGAACTTGAAGGTCGACCCGTCCTTCAGACCCTTGAAGAAGTCTGTGTAGGCAACTTCGTCAGACAGCCCTTGAATCTGAATTCTCATCAAATTGAACCGCTAGTCCTTCTCTATCTCCCTGCTGAATAGCCCCCAAGTCGAGACTTGTCTTTTTGGCAGAGATGTTCATGGAGAAGTTAGACGTGAACAGGTATGCCAGCGTCTTGAAGTTGTTGATGCATCCAGCTGGCAAATTGCTAAACCATCATTGGGCTATGCCCTTCCATGTTGCCGGGAAGCATCGGCACCAGGCAGCATCATCCAACCCCTATAAGTACATGAGGTTGGTGTAAGCCATTAGGTGGTCTTCCGGGTTGGTGGTACCATCATAGGTACCAACCAACACGTTCTTATCCTTGGCCGGCTGAGCTGCCTCGGTTATCTCCCTGTAGAACGCTGACGGCTGTTCCCCAAGGTTTAGCAGCCGGAGCTGCCAGTCCATGGGCTGGACATTTTGTGCCCCCTGACCCCCAAAGTGGGCCGGCTGCATGTATGGTGATCCATACGACATGTATGGTTGTTGGGGCACATACGGAGCTGGCTGGATAATCTGAGGGCCAGTACGTGCGGACATGTCGCGTGACTGACTTTCTCGGTTTGTTTTCGAATACTTCATTGAAGTATTCCAGAAACTGTTTGGGTACGTCGACGTTGAGGCCGACTCAGAAAATTGTTGACTTCTCTTCTCCTGGATGAACATCCGGGCATCTGAGTAAGTCTTTTTTTACCCATCGGGCTGAACTTGCCGGATGACCTTCCTTTGCCCTGATTCAAGGAAACGAAGTTTGGATAGGTCGATCATGGGCCCGTCCGCCCCCTTTGGTTTAGGGTGAGGAGTAGGCACACGATCTTTGATATGCTTCTTCCCGGAGGGAGAAGGCTTCTTGGCCGACTGACCCTTGTTAGTGCCAGTTGACTTGTTTATCAGGTCCTTGATCTCCCCTTTGAAACTCGTCATGAATTACATGAGTTCGTCTCTAGTTACGGGGGAAGCACCTTCCGCCGCCTGGGGTCGCCCGGCCAGCTTGACGGTTGGGCTGCTAGGACGAGCTTTGTCTTCGCCCCGTTCCCTTGTTTCTTTGGAACGGGTGCGTCTCGTTCTAAATGACCCATCTGAGGCCACGTAGGTGTCGACCTCAAAGTCGTCCCCACTATCTTCGTCCGTGTGGACCTCGATTTTGGCCATAGGCCGTTTGCCCTCAACAGGCGGTACAGATTCGAATGCCATCTAGGAGGTACTCTCCCAATAGACGGCGCCAAATGTTTCGGGGTTTTTGGAGTCCCTCGGGAGAGTTACCATTCCCAGAATACGCGTCGGTCGTCTGTACCTGCAAAACCACGGAAACTCCAGTTGGATGGAGTTCAGCCTCCGACGATCAAGTTAGAACGTTTCCGGATGTATAAAAGTGCGGAATGTAAAGGTTTTTCTCTCGGATTCCGAGAGAATACTGCAATTAATATTGCTCGGGTTTTTTTGTGTATATTTATGAATGTGTAATAAATGAGGATTTTCCTCTATTTATAGTGGAAGGGGATCAGTTCCCCTTTTAGGGTTAAACTGCCACGTGTCAGTAGAGGATTGGATCCTCTAAGACCTCTCTGAGGCCGACACGTGTCAGCATGCTATAGGGCCACGTGGACAGGGTATTTTAACCCTAAACAAGTAGTACTAACTTCTGGAAAGGAATCACCAACTACAGATAATCACTCAGCTTCCATATTCAGTAGATCAAATGAAAAAAGAAACTGACTGAAGAAAATCATAACCATGACAAAAGGGGTACGTTCCATAAGTTTGCATAACTAAATGTTAACAAAACAAATGATGACATGATTCAAATAAAGATGAAATGGCTAGGAGAAGAGCTAACTGAACATAGCATCAGCCTAGTAAACACAGTAAGTGCTTGCCATTTACAACATCTTTATATATAGAAAAAAAAAACAGCCAGCAAGTTCTCTTGTGAATAGCCAGAGTAATCCTGATTTCTTTGGTTGAAAATGACAATTTGTATGAATAATCTTGTGTCATACTTCCTCCGTTTTCTTTTTTTTTCTTTAAATTGCAGCATTTGCTTTGGGCACAAGATTTAAGAAAGGAAGTTAAAGGTGGGCGATCCCAAAAATCCCCATGTAACTACGAACAAATGAGAAGAAAAGTGGGGTAATAGTTATTATCAAATGTCTAAAAGGGTATAATGGGTATTTGGTGTGTGAAGACATGCCAAAAGTTAATGAAATCATACCATAAATGGGAATGGTGCAATTAATAAGCAACTTCCCAAAAAGAAAAATGGTGCAACTAAAAAAACGGAGGAAGTATTATATTTAATACATATTCATTTGTCTTAGAAGATCTAAAAAAGGAGCAAAATAGTGGTAATTTGGAGTGTTTTAGTAATAGGATAACACGGCCAAGGAATCTTTGTATCAAAGGGGATAAAGGAAGTGAACAAAAAAGGTAGCAGATTATACACTAACTTATACGAGGATAAATTATTTTGAGAAATGGGAAAGAAACCCTAACAAAAACATTGATCATGGAAGCCTTAAAAATTTTCTCGATCACATAAAAAAATTGAAATCGCTAACAGTAACAATTACTCTTCCATTTATCTCAAGAAAAATACATTTACAATAATAAATCTCTAACACGAAATTCTTTGCAACTTAATAAACATAGTCTGGTCAACTCTTACATACAAGGGGGTCATTTATACTTATGTGATTTCAAAAAATCACTTTGAGACCAGATAGCGGAGCTAAACATTTAAGAGAAAAACAATAAAAGTGCAACATTCAACCAAAAAGTGGCCTATTGGTACTTAACAGTAGCTAGATTGCCAGAACTCTACCTGAATCAAGCTGGAAACTGTCTACCCATTTTCTTAATCTATCCACAAATGTCGTGTCTTGGTTTCTTGGCTGAAACATAGATGAGACTTGATAGGGATTATAGTTTTCACCATGTTTCCCTTCGTAGAGCGCAAATGAAGAGAATTTTTTGTTGAAAAGGGCATAGGTTTCCTTATTATGAGTTTTCATCTGCAAAAATATGCATAACATAATTTAGAATATTAACAGCTTAAGAAAACAGTCAACACATAGTAAAAGAAACCGAAAAGGAAAAGGAAGACAAAACGAGAGATAAGGAAAAACAGGGGGGAAAAAAGTGAAAAATGGCAAATTTAACTGGGAAAATCAATTTACAACTCACTTGGTGTTTCTTAATTAACTGGGTTGCTATTGAGACATAAGCTAAGACAAGATAAAGGATGAAGCTCTTCATCAGTCAAGAAGATGTGAATAAGAAACAAAATTTTCAAGATTATACAGTTCCAAATATATTTAAACAAAATGATGACAATAAAAATTGAGCTTCCTGACACCACCTTGATTAATAAATATAGTGACAAAGTATTTCTTAAGTCCAGTCAAATTGAAGTAAAAAATGCAAGGAGATCTTTCCACCTTTACAAGGTTAAAAATGTACACGAAAATGGGCAAGGGAAAAAAAGAAAAGAAAAGAGACACAGTCAATTACAATAAGCACATTGTAAATCTGACCAAATTTACTTTATCACAATAACGGTAGATGTTTTATAAATAGAGACTATAGTCACCATAAAACGAAATGAGTGGGAATAGAAGCTCCATGGAGAAAGAGTCTGCAAGTTCAAAACTTGGGAAAGTTGGATGATATCTCCCGATGCCTTAACCTGAGGAAGCTTCTCTTAAGTTTCAGCAAAGATATTAACTAAAAGTCCACGGATATTTATGTGACTCATCCACAATTCTCAATGAACAAAACCAATCTATTAAAAAACAAGAGTGTATATGCAATCACATTCTGGAAAATAGTAATTACATGCTAAAATAACGCAGAAAGTAGCAAATTCTTATAAACATGCGAGTGGTGATGAAGAAAAATTGAACAGATATTTTCATACATGCTAGGCTCATAGTAACCTTTACTTGGAATTTATCATCAACCTACTACCAGCTCATAGTTGAGGGCAGCCGTAAGTCCGGCCTTTTACTCCTCATTGCCAAATTTTTCAAGCAAACCATGTCAACCGTCAAAGTTAATTCACACTGAAAACAGCACATATAATTTTTTTTTATTTTTTTATTTTTTTTTTAAAAAAAAATAAAAATAAAATAAATAAATAAATAAATCTTGAGGGGGTAACAGGGGAGATGACTAATAGAAGTACAAATATTAACTAGTATCATCCAGATCTTAGACACAGGAATAGGATATCAAAAGCCCCAGTGGAGCAGCAACAATTGCAACCATGGATGCTCTTGTTGCTAGTGCTAAGAGGTATGTAGCCTTATCCAATACACCAATAATAGCTTAGTAAAAGACTAGTTCTGAAATACTATACGAGAATCTCATAAGAGTGTCGATAAGTTGACCCATATATATTTAGTAATGCCAACATTGTTAAACGTGTGTCAAGCATCAAAAGCGTTGCTCATTCGCCTAAAACCTTCGTCAAAGGAAAACAGAAACCAAGAAACATAAATCACACAAACCACAAAGGCTTTACCTTTGCCAAACATTTTACTGAGACTCTTTTCCTGGTAGAGTTGTGGTTGTGCAAGATGCTTTAACTCTATGTCAAGATCAGAATTCACCTGCAATTCTCAACAGAGCATCAGATAATTGTGGTCAGTCAAGTCCAAATCTTCCCAATACTGAGCACGAGGTAACTATAGGCTGACCATTGGTAGCAAACAAAGCATGGCAATTGTACACATCTTAACTGATTTCAATCTCACATGTTAACTAGAGGCGGATCAAGTTTCTGATTCTAAGTATCCTCAAGATATAACTTTTTAAGCTAAGAAGAAATTGGTAGCAACTCAACCTTGTAACTAATAATTAACCCCAATCTTAAGATGAAGTATAACTCACAATAATTGACCCCTCTTGTCCACACCCCCAGCTCCTCCCGGGAGAAGAAAAAATATCAATGAGATCTAAATTAAGGTGGTGTTAGAGCGTTCTTGTAGGTGGCTTTGAGACCCTACATTCAGGTATCATTAGAGGTTTTATTTGATAAACAATTATGTAGTTTCAAGATCTAACATCCCTGTCATGTGCAGGTTATTCATTCGCTTGACAAAATCAGAGCAACCGCACCAAACACCCACAACCACACCATCAACGCACAAAATCAGAACAAATCGCACCAAACAGAAACTTTAGATTAATTTTCATATAAAACTCGGAAAAATTAGATCTAATATAATTGAAAATTAAAAACAAAACTAAACATGAAAACAATTAAAGGGCTAAAATGATTGAGGATTAAAACGAAAATCGATATTAGAATTAGAATAAACTCGAAAACTTCAGATCGAGAAAAAAAAAATTATCTCTGAATCCGCAAAAATTCATCACAAACTATCCAAAAAACCATTACTTGGAAACTTAAATCAACTAAAAACTACATAAATTTGAAAAAATAAAGTTAAATCAACTCAAACAATCATCATTTACAATATTCAAACTGAAAAAACTTCTAAATTGATTTTCGATGATTACAAAGAGAAACATCTTACCTAGCATCAGGAGCTTCAATTATAACCAATAGTGTTCAAGAATCGAACTGCCTAAGGAGGAGGACGCGAGGAAACGTTAATGGTTGATTGCAAAGCAAAGGAGCTTTAGGGTTTTTTTCAGTTTGAGGAAAGAGAAGGAGATCGAAGGAGAGAGAAGGAGATCGAAGGAGAGAGGAGGAATTTAGGGTTTCCATTGTTGAGAGGAGGAGAGATCGAGGAAAGAGAAAGAAAGAAGATAGAAAGAGTAAGAAAGAAAATAAAAATGGCCGGGGTTTTTTTTTTTCCAATAGCTTTCGCACCGGTTCAAACCGAACCGGTGCGATTAACTCATCATCCCCTCAATCCCGCCTATTTTTTTTCGCACCGATTTTTAAAAACCGGTGCGCATTTTGCAGTGCCTATTTCATTTTTTCTACTAGTGGAAGAGTTTGCGAATGTGGAGGTTTCACTTCCCTCCCCCCCCCCCCAAGCTGTGGGAATGGTATTTGATAGTTGGCAAAAAATTGACGAGTACTTTAGAAATTATGGGAAACAAGAGAGTTTTGGTGTAGTGCGCTCATGTGGAGCAGCAGTTGTGAAAGGATCTAATGCAAAGGATAAGCGGAATATCACTTGGACATGTGAATGTTATGGGTTTCCAAGTAGAAAGAGGAAGAAAACGAGTTGGACTTTTGTTTCTGATTCACAGATATGTGATGAAGTATTGGTTAAGAGGAAGAGCAAAAAAGTTGATTGTGGTGTGAATTTGAATGCTACGCTGAATAAGGCTGGTGAGTGGTTAATTAAGAGAATGAAGCTTGAACATGATGGTCACAAACCTACACTGGGCAAGTCAAAAAACATTACTAAGTTTAGGAAGAAGTTCCTTACTGACAACCCCCACCTTGTGCAACAGTTGTTCAATGATCGGAAATCCGGAGTTCTTGTTTCTCAGATTTATAATTGTATGGCTCGTCAAAGAAATGGCCAGGAACAGATGCAATTCACTCAACAAGATTGCATGAAGAAGTGGCGAATCAAAGGAAAGTGAAATTTCAGGAGGGTGATACCAAGGCTATGTTTGATTACTTTAAGCGGATGGTAGATGACAATGCCAATTTTTCCCACGCCCATCGTGTGTATGAGATGGGTCGCTTACAAGACGTATTGTGGGTTGATGCAAGGAGTCGGATGGCGTATGAGGAGTTTAGTGATGTCGTTTGTTTTGACTCTACCTACCTTACTAACGAATATAAGTTACCCTTCTGTAACTTTGTTGGTGTGAATCATCACTGGCAAACCATTTTGTTTGGTTGTGCACTAGTTTCCCGTGAGACTTCGGAAACCTTTGAATGGGTTTTCTCTAATTAGTTGCGGTGTATGAGCGAAAAACAACCCTTTGGGATTCTAACAGATTAGGACCCGTCCATGAGGAAAGCGTTAAAGCTGACCATGAAAGGAAGCACTCACCGAGGTGCATTTGGCACATTACTCAGAAATTTTCAAGAAGTTGGGGAAACTCCCTGATTATCCAGATATTCATGATGACCTTGAGAATTCCATTTATGACAGTCTAGATTGTGAAGAGTTTGAGAGTAATTGGCAAGAGGTGATCCAGAAACACAAATTAGAAGACGATGAATGGCTAACAGGTTTGTGGGTTTTTTGTATTTACTCTTGTAAAATTTTATTTGCTGTATTTGGGGATGTGGATGGTTATTGTTGTTTATTAGTGTTTTCTGGTGAAATTGAGTCTGCTTTGGGCCAGAATTCTTTCTGCTATGGTATCTTGCCTAGCTTGGGTCATGCAATTATGTTGTTATTGTGTTACTACAGTTTGGGGATGGTTGGTGATGATTGTTGTGGTCTTGTTGTTGAAGGAGTGTCCTCGATCAAGTACAACAATTACTAAATATAATATAGGATTAATTAAGGAGATTATTATAATCGGTTATTTTAAGTAATCATAATGTTTTGCTAGAAACCAACTATGATTTGTGAACTAATGCGATTAGTTTACTACTAATAATAATCCGATCCTATGAGGTCACACATATGAGTATATGATTGAATTAAGATGCATGAAAAGGCATTAAAGCAATTTCAGAATGAAGTACAGAATCAACCTGGCAAAACAATAAAAGCACAACGATCAGATCGTGGTGGAGAATATTTAAGCCAATAATTTGATGATCATCTAAAGGGTTGTGGAATACTTTCCCAACTAACTCCACCAGGAACACCCCAGTTAAATAGTGTATCCGAAAGGAGGAATCACACCTTACTTGATCTGGTTCGATCAATGATGAGTCTTGCAGATCTTCCAATATCCTTTTGGGGACATGCCCTCGAAACTGCTGTTTTTACACTAAACAAGACTTCGTCAAAGGCTGTAGATAAGAAACCATATGAGTTATGGACAAGAAGAGTTCCAAAACTATCTTTTCTACGAATTTGGGGTTGTGAAGCTTATGTAAAACGTTTACTCTCAGATAAGTTGTCTCCCAAATCTGACAAATGTTTCTTCATAGGTTATCCTAAAGAAACAAAGGGCTACTACTTTTACAATCGAAATGCGAACAAAGTGTTTGTTGCTCGAGATGGTGTCTTTCTGGAAAAGGATTTTATTTCCAAAAAGACAAGTGGGAGTAGTATCTATCTTGAAGAAATTCGAGAGGAGCAACAAATGGATGTGGATAGAACCACGTCAGAGATGCAATCACAGGGCTATTTTTTACCGATTAGGCCATTAGTAAATGAGGAAGAGTTAGTGCTTGAAACGCACGATACTCTCCTCACTACTAACAATGTGATGGAGGAATTGCATTCAACGCAAGAACCTCCTATCATCCCACTCAAATCAAATTCGTGCGAAAATTCTCAAATAGTTGAGAAGAACGTTTCTCCTGTTGCTCAGCCCGTACGTAGATCTAGTAGACCAACAAGACCACCTAAGAGGTTTGTTGAACTTCTGTTAACGGAAAACTCTGAAATTATGATTTTGGACCAGGAAGAACCTACTAGTTATAAACAAGCCTTGACGAGTCCAGACTCCGAAAAATGGCTTGGAGCCATGAAATCCAAACTGGAATCCATATCGGAGAACCAAGTATGGAATTTGGTTGATTTTCCAAATGGGGTAAGACCTATTGGATGCAAATGGGATTTCAAATTGAAAACTAACAAGGATGGAAATGTAAGTGTTTTCAAATCTCGACTGGTTGCTAAAGGTTTCAAGCAAATCCATGGTATTGACTATGATGAAACTTTTTCACCGGTAGCGATGCTTAAATCCGTTCGGATACTTCCAGCGATTGCTACATTTTATGACTATGAAATTTGGCAGATGGATGTGAAAACCGCCTTCTTGGATGGTTTCTTAAAGTAGGATGTGTACATGACACAACCAGAAGGTTTTGTAGATCCAGAAAATCCTACGAAGGTATGCAAGCTTAAGAAGTCTATTTATGGGCTTAAGCAAGCATCTAGGAGTTGGAATCTTCAATTTGATGAGGCAATCAAAAAAGTTTGATTTTCTCAGAAGCGAAGAAGAATCTTGTGTTTACAAGAAAGAAAGTGGGAACAACATAGTTTTCTTGGTATTGTATGGGATGACATACTTCTCATAGGAAATAACATACCAATGCTTGAATCTGTCAAGGAATGGTGGAAAAGTTGTTTCTCTATGAAAGACCTAGGAGAGGCCGAATACATTTTGGGAATCAAAATCCATAGAGATAGGTCTCGAAGGATGATTGGACTGAGTCAAGAAACTTATATAGATAAGGTTCTTACAAAGTTCAATATGGAAAACTCTAAAAGAGGATTCATTCCCATGAAACATGGCACATTGCTAAACAAGACTCGGTGTCCAAAGACATCTGATGAGACTAAGCGAATGAAAAATGTTCCGTATGCATCTGATATAGGATCAATTATGTATGCTATTATTTGTACAAGGCCAGATGTCTCATATGCCTTGAGCGTATGTAGCAGATTCCAATCAAATCCGGGCGACGCGAAGTGGAGTGCAGCTAAGAACATCCTTAAGTACTTAAGAAGGACTGAGGATAGTTTCCTAGTGTATGGAGGTGAGAGTGACTTAGTTGTTAAAGGTTACACAGATGCAAGTTTCCAAACCGACAAAGATGACTACCGATCACATGGTTTCATTTTTTGTCTAAATGGAGGTGCAGTCAGCTGGAAAAGTTCAAAGCAGAGCACTGTAGCAGATTCTACAACAGAAGCTGAATATTTGGTAGCAGTTGAAGCGGCCAAAGAAAGAGTTTGGATTAAGAAATTCCTCATTGAATTGGGAGTTGTGCCTACCATTGTGAATGGAATTGACTTGTATTGTGATAATAATGGTGCAATTGCTCACGCAAAAGAACCAAGATCACATCACAAATCTAAGCATGTGGAAAGAAAATTCCATTTAATCCGAGAAATTGTTGCTAGGAAAAATGTCAGAGTTTGCAAAGTTCATACGGATGAGAATGTCTCTGATCCATTGACTAAACCCCTACCACAGCCAAAGCATAAAAGTCACGCTAGAGCTATAGGAATAAGCATGTTGGAGAATGGCTTTAGATTATGTAAATTGATTTTCATAATTGTAAAGACGTTGAATCATGTAATATTTATGTTTATCAATAAATTATTCTTATTTAATTGTGGTTTAGAATTAAATAAAATGTTCAAAGTAACTGTAATTTTTATAGGTTGTCAAATGCGTGATTTGACAAATGAAACCCTATTAGGAGAACATAAATTATAAATTACTAGTGTTCCTAGTCTGAGACATTAATTGACATAAATGCCTCAATCAAAAGACTAGTATGTGGATTGATTGATAGCTCAGTTTCATGAGCTATAGGGACATAGAGATGTTTAGTCGACTACATAGATATGCATTGTGATGTGTATGGAACAGACCAAAATTGAAATAAGATTTCAAACTTATATTTAGTGGATTCCTCAGACATGAGAATAACATTCTTCCTGAAATAATTAGTATATCCTTGATGATGTCAAACGTCGTGCCGTAAAAGGAGGTAATAAAGGCAGCAATCAGGAATGATAAAAGTTTAGTAGGAGTATTGGTTGGACAAGAATGGATAAGTCCTCCTATTTTATATGGGATTGGTGTCTTGGCCTCTTGAAAAGTTAGAAAATGAAAATGCATGGCCGTGCTCAAGTGGATTACATGTTTCTACAGTTCTTAACTCAGATTTCAAGAAACAATTTGAATCTTAATATGGATGACATAAGATGTTGTCATATTATCAGATTGGACATTAATAGACTTAAGTGAATTCAAGATTGCTCCACTTATTCTCGGACAAGTGGGAGATTGAAGGAGTGTCCTCGATCAAGTACAGCAATTACTAAATATAA